ACCTTTGCAGGACAGGACATTTTTCTTCTTTTACTATCCAGAAAAGATATCATTATTAGAGAGAGTAGTGTATCATATTTTGATACCATGGTCACTTCTCGCTATGCCTAAGATTTTAATCATTTATCATTATATTAAGAATAATTCCAGTTTATTTTTAATGTCTGACCCTGTGAGATTTGATCTATAGTATTCTTAAAATGGAAATATCTCTGAACACTGACAAAGTGCTGGAATGGCTGAGAGTTGGAGTAATTTGTATGATTAGGTTGATAAGATTTTATATCAGATTTGGTCAATTCTTGGTAACAAAGCTCTACAAAATGTTGTCTAATCAGCACTCCATGAATGTTTCCCACTAGTATCTGTCTAATCTTCTTAAAAGCTAGATGTTAACTGGAAAATTATTTTTCAAAATTAACTTTGATAGCATCAATTAAATATATAGCTATGATTCCTCAGTTTCATTGTTCCCTCCCCTGCCAGTAGTTGGAATTTCTAGTAATTTTTGTTTTTTAAATTGAGTTCATTCGTAATTGCTTGGAAGAAGTAAATTATAGAATTAGGATGTAATTGTTCCTGAACCCTAAGCAAGTTATTCTTAGCATATAATGGAGAACATTTTGTGGATAGTCAGAATTATATAACAATAACCTAGAAAACTCCAAAAAGAACAGTCCAATCAACACAATAAAGAACAAAACTCTATTAGGGAGAATGAGGCTGCTAGTAGATTAAGGCATCTGGGAGAATTTTATTTCAATGTTCATGACTGGTAGCTGATTAATTTAAGGAGTATTTTTGGTTTTATAGTTGGTATATTTGTTTGTTTATTTTTACCTGGAGTTTGTTTCCTAAGAGTCGCAGCTTGTCCCAGCAAGGATGATGTGCCCTCATTAATCTTCTCAGCTCCCAACCTTCAGCCTCATTGAGTTCATTCTGTCCATTATCTCTCCCTCTGGACAGGAGCCTCTGTTGAAAGCTGGCTCCAGTCAGCTGTCTTTCTACCTCCGCCCTGTTTGTTTATTTTTAAGCATTCAACCTCTGTGGACACCTTGCATTCAGAGATTCTCTGGAAACTTTTGGTTTTTTGAGGTATCTCCAAACTACTACAAGATGCCCCTAGAGATTATGGTAGTTTGCAGTCCCACCAGCAATGTAAGAGAGTTCTTTTCTCTTTGCATCCTAGCCAGCATCTCTTGCTTTGGGACTTTTTGGTAGGCACCATTGTCACTGGAGTGAGATGACACCTCACTATGGCTTTGATTTGCATTTCCCTGATAGAGACATGGAGTGTTTTCTCACGTGCTTGTTGGCATTAGTCTATTTTCACTTGAAACGTTTCTGTTCATGTCTTTTGCCCACTTTTTAATGGGTCATTGGATCTTTTCTTGCTGACTTGCTTGAGTTCTAAGTCCCTGACAATAGATACAGAGATTAATAAAATATGGTATATGTTTACCATGGAATCCTACTCGGAAATAAAAAAATGACCTAATATGTGCATCTTTTGTAACAACCTGGTCTCCATCGAATTGCCACATAAGTTTATCCTTTAATGGAGGTCATGTTTCTCTAAAATTTAAAGAAAATTGTTCTTGATGTTTATAAACATTTGTAGCTATTCAGGCATTAAAAAGTTAGGATTTTTTCTCCTGTTGTTCTAGTCCCTTTTGTGAAATCGTCCTTCTTCTGAGGGCCTTCCAAGAATTCAGAGGCCTGACTCTTGAGTCGACTGTCACTTCAGCTGTTTCAACACTAAAGGATGCACTCAGACCAGTTAAACTAAAAGTGTCTCTTTTCCCAAGCAGAGCAACCTCATAGCTGGCACCACACTGGGTCACACCCCAAACCCATGGCCTCCCCGACCAGTGTGGTTCCAGAGCTCACTCAAGGCCCACAGCTACTACTGCCTGACTACCAAAGAAGTTTATTCAAAGCCCAAGGCCACTTTCGTCAGCCTGTGGTGAAGGTGGCTGGGACTTGGTTCCATCTTCCCAGGGTGGCCCACAGCCCTCTGGCCTAGAGTTGGCCAAGAAGTGCTGTCCAGGAACAATGGCTGGGATTAGGGGCTTCAGGGTGTGACCTGGGCTATGTTTTGCTGTGGTGAAGCTGGTACTCAATTCCAAGGCAAAGTGCCCTGTACCTTTCCTTCTCCTCCCCTGGGGAGATGGAATCCTTTCTAGGCTGCGTTGCCTGGAGCTAGGGATCAGGTGACTGTGGCTGTCCCCCAGCCACTGTAGCTGCAGTCATTCTGTGCTTCATCCCGAGCCTTCTGCCTCCCAGACCACGCTGTATAAAGCTCACGCAAGAAACGTGGCTGCTGAGGTCACTTAATCATCTGATGGTGAAGTGAGCCAGAGTCAAGTTCCTCCCAGCAGGGCAGCGGATTTCCCTCTGTCCAGGCCCTGCTTTACATGTTACCTCTGTGGATAGTGGCCTAGAATCAAGAGTGGTAGATGTTTGCTTAGTACCATAATCCACCATAACAAAGCATCATGGAGTTCTAAAAAAAAGTCTCACAACTCTGTCTCCTCCCCAAGGCACACAGATGCTCTCCGCATGCTGTGCTGACTGGGGCTGAAGGAGGAGTGGTGCGGGCAAGGCAAGGCTATAAGTATGACCTGTTTCCATTGGTGAATAACTGCAAATACCAGGGGTGATGCATAGCTCCTCCAAGCCCGAGAGCATCCTTCAGAATTTAGAAGAGTTATACATGCACATGGTAAAGTTTAGAGCAGGGTTTCACCACCTCTGCTCTGTACATGCTGTTGGCTTGTTAAATTTTTTGTTCTGAGGTGCTGTCCTGTGTCCTGTAGGATGTTTAGCAGCTTCTCTGGCTCCTACCAGGGGCAAGTTCCCTGCCTTTTCGTCTTACCCTCTACCAAGTTGTGTCAAACAAAATGTCTCCAGACATTGCTAGATGTCCCCTGGAGTAGAACGTGCCTCCTGGCTGAGAACTACTGTTTTATAGGAATCAGACCCATGGAGCAAATGTTTTTGAATTAAGGAAGAAGTTATGATTATGCAATATTATATATACTTATATGACTGAATTTGCTTATTAGAATTACAATTTTAATCTAATTTAAAAGTATAATGAGAAATTTATTTACATTTATGTTTAAATGGTTAAATTTTATTAAAACACAGCTTCAATATTAGAAGAACCAAATACAGTTTGCATGTCCCATTTGTGTAATTCATAAAAAGTTACTTTGCTAAAATTACCAGAATTGCTTAGCATTAGAGAAAATGTGGATTATTACAAAAGCTTTGAGATACACAAAAATCAAGAAACATAAAATCTGCACAGATGGATACCAGAGAACCCCTCAAGAACACTGGTAAGACGAGTGGGTCTAAACTTGGGCAGGTGAATCAGAAAGGATGCTGTCAACTGTGTTTCTTGGAGGTGAAGAAATGGACAGCATAGTTGTTCTCAAAACTTGTGTAGTGATTTGTGCCCATATTTCATCTGGGTAGTGACCAGGGGTCACGCTAACACCCCGCAATGCACAGGTCAGGTCTCACAACAAGGAATTATCCAATCTAAAATATCATTGTGTTAAAGTTGACAAAGGCTGGAAATTAAATCTCAAGAAAATGTATCCTTCCTTCCTTCCTTTCTTTCTTTTCATTTTTGAAAGAGAGGGAGAATTCTTCCTCAATTCCGTAGCCTAATTCTAGGCTTAGCTGGAACAGAAGGGAACAGGTTCTCAATCCAGGTATCACTTTCATTCCTCAACTCTCCTTGATGCCCAGTGCTGGCTGCGAGTTCTTTTTCTCTTGACATGTTGGGACAGGAAACTGTTCTAGCTAACCTGTTCCAGCCTGCAAGAATATCTATCTCACTGTTCCCCACTGATAGCCAACTCTTTCATGAGGCAATGATTTGAATGTTTGTTTCCCCCCAGTATTCATGTGGAAATGTATTCCCCAAAGCAACAGTATTCTGAGGTCGGGCCTTCAGGAGCTAAGTAAGCCAGAAGGACTCCTCTTTAATAGCTGGGACTAATGTTTTATAAAACAGACAGAAAGACCTAGCTTTTTGTTTGTTTGCCCTTGTGGCATGTGAGGAATGTCCTTTCCAGAGGACACAGCAAAAAAGCATTATCTTGAAGCAGAGGCTGGATCCTCTCCAGACACTGCAAACCTGCTGGTAGCTTGACTTTGGACTTCCAGCCACCAGATGTATAAGATATAAATGCATATCCTTTATAAATTACCCAATCCCAGGTATCTTGTAGCAGCAGAATCATACTAAGGCAAGTAATATGCTGAAATCAAGTGGAACAGCAGTTACTCATGCCACCCTTCCCTGCCCCCAATTCCTATCTCTCCTCAATAAATATCCATCTCTCTGGGTCTGGGTGTGCCCACCTTCCCTCTTCCATGGGCTCACCCCATGCTCTCCATGAGCCCCATCATGAATCACTAGGCTTAAAGAAGCACATTCAAAATTGTGTGTACCAAGTACCAAAATCTCAGTATTGTTTGGGGTTTATGGTAGGTTTAAGAAGCTCAGCATTGAAAGCATTGTGGAATAATTTTTCCTGGAGTAGGAGCTGGAAGAGGACAGGAGAATATAAGTTAGTCCTTTCCCTAATAACTCTCCCTGCTATATCATGTTTGTTGTGTTTAACCTAATATCTTATGTATCTTCTTATATAATATAGCTAATATACCTGAAAAGCATCAATCACAGGAGAGGATAACCTCTAAAGACCTAATGAAGGAAGTGCACTTGTTCATCAATAAGAGAAAAGCCAAGAGAGATGAATAAGTCATAGTTCTCAGAAAATATTATTCACCACTTCCCAAGCTTCACTCCCCCACCAAAAAGCTGATAAGGATCTCTCAGCCCATAATCTAGGAGTTCTACTAGAAGTAACTTAGAGCAAGGTGTAGCTGATGAAGAAGTGTCACAGACATGGGAGCTAAACTACATAGCATGTGAGGACCAGGCCCAGCTCCTCACTGAGAAATATTTTTTTTTTTTTATTAAATCGTAGCTGTGTACATTAATACAGTCATGGGGTACAGTGTGCTGTTTTTATATACAATTTGAAAATTTTTCATCAATGCAGGGACCGGGTGATCCTGTTGACCATCACACTGCTTCCCCAGAGCCCAGAGAGTGCTCACTGCTTTCTCATTGATTACAATTTATCTCTCCTTCATCCACCACCCACCTCCCTAAATATATGCCCAGGTCCACCCAAAACTGTGAATGTTCAAAGCTTGGTTCACAAGGGCACACAGTTCCACTGGTTCCAGCCTCCTACAATGGGGATATAATGCAGATTCTGAGCCACTTTTTGCATAGCTTCATTTTTCTTATCTGTGTGAGAATAGATGGGAAAACCAAGTTTGTGCATTGTCTGTACATGGGAATAGATGACATAGGAGATGAGGCCATGGACCCGGTACTCTGGTATGGTGCCTGACATCCGCATCTCTCCAGTCTGGTCCATTAGGCTCCAGGACACAGGTGTCCCCTCGGGCCCCAGCAGACAGAAGCTGGGGAAGGTCTGGATACAGTGCTCAATGAATTTCTGGCTTCTCTCATTGCCTCCAAAAGACCAAAACTTATTTACCAAGGTGGCATGGGTAGCATCCAGGGATGAGATTTTAAAGACCTCTTTATTGCTATAAACGATACAAAAAGAAAATGACATTCACGAATATGAAGGTCTATATTTTTCTTACCTCTGTTGTTTCAAGAGACAGAGTAGACTAAGGGAATTGTGAATGCAACATCATAGAGTATGAATGAGCTTGTGATGATGGAGGAAGGGAATGAAGGCCAGTGTGGTTGGGGGAAGTGAGCAGGAAGTGCAGGAAAGGTGCACGTGGTAGCCAGAGAGCAGAGTTATTCCAGGTGAGAAGGGAAATGATGGAATCTCCTGTTTGTGATCATTGGTTATAGAAAGATCAGATTGAAAGCAGTGAAGTGTTGAGTGCCATAGAGTAACTTTTATCCAACTCACATATGCTTGGGCTTGCCACCACTGGATGATAAAGTTTGTGTATCCATCAGGGAAGGAGACAGTTTCTTGGCTGTCTCAGACTTTACATAGAGAATGCATTGTGTTTGTTTGACTTTAAAAGATTTAATGGCTGCAAGATTTTCTATCACCTCATTCAGGCTGGGCTGTGAACCTAGATGGGATCATAAGGAGAGATATCATGGTTTAGATATATACATGGGAGAAGCGGTCCAGTAGAGTAGAAAGTGCCTGAATTTAGATTCATAAACCCTTGGTTCTGGGCTTGGTGCTGCCACTGTGTGACCTGAGTCATGTAGTCAAGATTTGTGTAACTGCTTCCTGTTTTACTTAAGTCTACCTAGAGATGAATTTGGCCATGGTCACGTCATTAGTGGAAATGCCCAATATCAAGTATTTGGGGCTACATCATCATGTATGTTTGATAATGAGCTTTGCTTCCACGTGATAGACTATAGCATTAATGACTCACGATTTGTCCTGGTGTCCATTCTTTGGGACAGTCCCCTCTTGCACTGTATCTGACTTTGGCCATGTGACTTGCTTTCATTAAGGAAAAGAGAAAATTTAATGTGAAGAGTCTTAACATTTCTTACACTTTGGGCTTTCCCTCCTTCCCCACCCCCCTGGTTACCTTAAGATCAACACCATAAAAATAGACCTAGGTTACCCTGCTGGAAACATGTGCTTCTCTGATGCTGTCACCAAGTCACCCGCTGGTACTACTGACCAGCCAGAATCATCATTCAGGCACGTGAATGATGCTGTGTTAGAGCAACCAGCCATATTCTATCTGTGACTTGATTTCAGTACTATGAATAAAGCCAGATGAAACCAGCAGAAAGACCAACTTGCAGGGCTCAGCACAAATGTTTAATTTAGAGAATTACGAGGTCTGCTGTGCAACCAAAGTAAACTGACACATTCAGGTATTAGGCCAAGTTCTTCCTATCCACTATCCAAACGTTTATTTGCTCTTTCTAGTACCCTAAGTTTTAGGGACCATTTTATCCTCATTTCTATATGTAAGGAATGTGATCTCAGGGAGAGTAAGTCAGTTGCCTAGGATGACATACCGAGTAATTGGTAGATGTTGTCCTAGGGAGTCTGACTCCAGTGGGCGTGCTGATAACCATGGTAGCTGTCCTTGGAGACATGGGAGCTGTTCTGTGGCACATGAGCTATCACTCTGAGCCCAGGAATAGAAGGTCAGGCTCTACTCTGGTACCTAAATTCCCTAAGTGTTCTAGGTGCAATTGCACAATATGTCATAAACCCTTCTCAACGGTAAATTACACCTTGGTTTCCCATATGAAACCTATTCCAGCTATAGGTTTGAGTTTTTATCCCTTTTGCAGGTACTGTTTGCACTGTGTCAAAAAATCAATAGGTTAGAAGAGAGATGTACAAGCCACGTGAAGACTTGCTTAGAACGCAGACGTGATTCAGCACACACCCATTTCTCTTACTTACTTTGAATTTGTAAATGCTGCTTCCAATTGATGACTTCTGGTGAACCAAGGAATTTCTGACAGTTTTGGATATCTTTGGAGAAGATTTGGTAGGTATTGGTATAGTGATCAAGGTCATCTATCATATCCTGTTATTGTTAGGAAAAGGAGAATAAAACACATTATTTTATGATTGCAATGTTTTTTTAAAAAAAGAATTCCATTATATTGTGATATATTTAAGTAATAAAGTATTAGTTTTTATATATTACAGATACTTCTGAATCATTTAAATCATGAGATAAAGATTGGAAGTTTAACCATTCACCTTATGATGGAAAATTCTAGAATAATACTGTTCTTTATATTTATATTGCCTTAAAACTTCCCGTTAAAGACATATTTCTTTTCAAAGTATTCTTCTATAACTTCTTCTTCCTCCAAAGGAAGAAGAAATCAACAATGATCAAGGGAATGCTTTTATTTAAAGAGTAAGTTTTACTACAGTTGGAATACTTGCAGAACACACAAACAATTAACATGATCGTATGAAACAGATACTCTAAAATGTCATTGATATATAACAAAACCAAAAAAGATGAAAACCAATTAGAAATACTTTTGGAAAAAAATACTATGGTTAAACATATTGTAATTCCAGAATGGAAAAAAGTCATTTTTTCACACAGATTTCCTCAAATTATTTAAAAGCTGATGAATTTATTTAGAGGAAGAGGGCTGAGGAATATATTGTCACAACTATTATAGAATCAGAAATTTTTGAAATAATAATTGGAAAACATTGCACAAAAACACACTCAAATTAGCAATGATATCGACTAATTTTGTTGTTTAAAATCACAATCAAAAGAAAAGAAGAACATGAGAGCAAATATATATAAAGTTTTAGTTAGGAGGATTTCAAGAGAAATATTATGCAATGTGGTGACTATTATTAACAATGTACTGTAGTCTTGAAAATTATTAAGATAATAGATTTTAAGTGTCCTTATCATGCAAAAGATGAACATATACTATTTAAATTAGTGATTTTAAAATAACTTTGTATTAAAGACATATTTGTTTTTTGATGTTCCAAAATAAGCTTATACATTTTTATCTTAAAGTATTACATATTTCACTAATTTTCAAGTCTTTCCTCAAATGTGTATGGAAATTCTACCATTACAATTTTGTTATTTACAACTATGTTATTTATTTTGTTATTATTATTTTTTTTTTGTTATTTATTTAGTTACTGGAAGTCATTATTCTTTTTTTTTTTTTTTTTTTTTTTTGAACAGAGCCTCAAGCTATCCCCCTGGGTAGAGTGCCATGGCATCACACTCACAGCAACCTCCAACTGCTGGGCTCAAGCGAGTCTTCTGCCTAAGCCTCCCAAGTAGCTGGGACTACAGGTGCCCGCCACAATGCCTGGCCATTTTTTGGTTGCAGCCATCATTGCTGCTTGGCGGCCCGGGCTGGGGATTCGAACCCGCTACTTTAGGTGTATGTGGCTGGCGCCTTAGCCACTTGAGCCACAGGCGCCGAGCCTGGAAGTCATTATTCTGTTTCACATCTTTGTATTTTTGTCCTTGCTATTTTCTTTGGTTAGAGTATGTTTTCTTGTCATCCTGACAAAAACAAATGGACCTACAAAAATCCAGTTCAGATGAACTCTCCACCAAAATGTATCTTTATCTGGTAACCTCCACCTTCTTTTTTTATTTTTATTTTTATTTATTTATTTTTTATTAAATGATAGCTGTGTACATTAATGCAATCATGAGGTACAGTGTGGTGTCTTCATATACAATTTGAAATATTTTCATCAAACTGGTTAACATAGCCTTTATATCATTTTCTTAATTATTGTGTTAAGACGTTTATATTCTACTTTTAGAAAGATTCACTTGTACCCTTGTAAGATAAACCATAGAGGTGATCCTTCCAATAACCCTCCCTCCACCCATCCACCTCTCTGCTCATATTCTTAGGCTATAATTAGGTTATAGCTTTCATATGAAAGCTATAAATTAGTTTCATAATAGGGCTGTGTACTTTGGATACTTTTTCTTCCATTCTTGTGATACTTTGCTAAGAAGAACATTTTCCTGCTCTATCCATGTAAACATGAAGGATGTAAAGTCTCCATCTTTCTTTATGGCTGCATAGTATTCCACAGTTTATTGATCCACAGTTTATTGATACCACAGTTTATTGATACCACAGTTTATTGATCCATTTGTGGATCGATGAGCACTTGGGCTTCTTCTATGACCTGGCAATTATGAATTGGGCTGCAGTAAACATTCTGATACAAATATCTTTGTTGTAATGTGATTTTTGGTCTTCTGGATATATACCTAATAAAGAAATTGCAGGGT